ACCCTTGTTAGTATCAGTTACAAAAACAACCAGACTTACCCTCGTTAGTATCAGTTACAAAAACAACCAGACACACCCTCGTTGGTATCAGTTACAAAAACAACCAGACTTACTCTCTTTATGACTTCCATCTCTTCTATTTTGGAAAGTTTTTTATCCCCCAGGTTTTGGGCATTGAAAGCTGCTATCTTTAGTGGGGGTTCTACGGGGTTTTCTTCCAATGGTAGGTTCAAGCTTGTGTTTAATGCACAAAGGTTTGTGATCAGAAAAGCACATAGCACGAGTCGTCGATTTTGATCCATCTTGAACGAAGTTTTCTCTGTTACAACTGTGATAGGTGAAGACTCACTCACTCACTTGTTAGACTTATACACTAGTAGAATTGACCTAACGTATCCGGTGCACGCTATAATAAAATTATAAAACAACAAAAAAAAAGTTTCTTGTCGTGTTAGTGGTTACGATAACTAGCAAGTGGTGGAGCTAGCTGTCAATCATAGCGTCAATAATACAGGACATTGATCACGCGGAACTTTGATAAGGTTTGCTTCCGAAGGAGAAAGGGCTGGAATTAAAGAGTTTCTTATTTTTGTCTTCAAAGTATCAGTTACGTTACACATTGATTATTTATTATGTAAGTTACCCACGATTCTAAATTACCAACGTCGTGTATATTAGATTAGAGAAATAGCTCTTTTTTTGGTCATCTTCAAACTTTGCTCGATAATATATTCGGCTAAATGTTGAGTTTAATCGGTATGATACGTTGACGTCATGTGTATAGTGTATAGTGTATAGGTTGTCCTTTCCTAACTTCATAAAATCTAAATATTTCTTGTTCGTCAGCTTTCACAATTTTGTCAACAAGAAAAACAAACAGCTTGACTGCTGAATGATTCAAGGTGATGAATGGCATTCATCAAAACCTATACGAGTTTACTGAATGATTCAAGGTGATGAATGGCATTCATCAAAACCTATACGAGTTTACTGAATGATTCAAGGTGATGAATGGCA